GGCAGCACGATTCAGTTATGAGAACACATCTTCTCATTTAAAATACACTTTTAAGTTTGTCCAAAGTGTTGCCCCTTGAGTAGGCAAACCTTCTTAAATGGTGTAGATATGCAAAGAGACAAAGACAAAAGTAGGACAAAGGACGTCTCCGTTATTCTAAGTTTAGTCCACCTTGGTGTCGTTTTGCTGCCCTGCAAGCCTTTCGGAAACTGCCGCAGATGTGTTATTCTGTGCTGTGATGAAATTCAACCCCAAACCATTGGAGGCTTGAAAAGAAAATCTCCTACCAACTCAGAATGAAGCACCACACACAGAGGCACAAGTATACATATGTTCACATATGCTTTAGAACCAGGCAGACGACATGAAATGGGTCTGAATGTGAGAAAATATTGTAGGTTTTTAAAGATTCCAAATTCATCAAAGATCCATCGAAGATCCAAGTGATTGCATGGGACCGGCAGTAAGAAACCAGTAAGAATCCTATTGACAGACGGCCCGCAGGACCACACCACCTCTTGTATGCATACTAACTCTGTGCCTTGCCTCATACCAGCACAACATTTTATGTTGGAACTATTTGTCTTTTTATCTATAGCGTCTTGCAAAACTAAATATATGTCTTTCGATGTTTTACTGGGGTATTTTTTTGAAACCGGGATAAGTAGTGCACAATTGGAAGGTGAACGACAATGTTAAGTTGTTTTCATTTCTGTTTTACAGATACAAATCTGAAAAGCATGGCACTGATTTCTATTCAGGCCAGCATAAGGCAGTACTTTGTAGAAATATCTTGCATTGTAAGCGTCTTGTGTACCAGGACATCTGTGTTTTTCCCCAATCTTTAAAGTATCTCAAGCTTAGTTATTCTGAACAACTGGCATGTTTAAAAAGCAAATCCAAGCCACAGCATTGATTTTCACTTGCATTTTGGTCTGGACTTTGACTGGACCTTTCTGAAATAGCTTTGGTGGCAGTTTTAGACTTTGTCCTGCTGTACGGTGAATCCCATCCTAGTATTTTGGAGCCTCCATGAGGTTTTCCTCTTCTAGAATTGCCCTGTGTTTTTGCTCCATTCATATTCGCATCAGTGCTAATTGTCTTCCCTGTCAACAGTAGTATATTTGTTACATCATGATGCTACCCATACTGTGTTGGTATGATGTAAGGGTGAACGAATGCATGGATTTTGATTCCACTTCATGTTAATGCGCTACTTTGAGATTGCCTGGTAAATAAAATCTGTATGAAATACGTTCCAGTTTAAGGTGCTAAACTGACAACATGTGCAAAGGGTTTATGAAGTCTTTTGCTAGACGCCGCATGTATCATTTTGACTCTCTCTCGCCATCGCAGTCGAAGGGTTCAGTTCACCTTCGCCTTCTACCCATCAATTTTCGTGTCCATCATTCCTCGTTCTGCCTCCGAAGAAATGTACACAGACTGCAGGTTGTGAAGGAACACCTGCTGAGCATCGTGTAAACAAAAAAAAAAAAAAAAGAGAGAAAAAAAAACACTGCCACGAAACTGAAATGCCGTGAAGCAAAAGTGAGCAGGGCAGCTTTCCTGTTAGTTCATTTCAGATGGAGTTAAATATATCATTTTTCCTTGCCCTCTCTGACTCTTTCTAGCAGGCTGCTGTGCAGCTAGCACAGCGCAGAAGGCAGAGTGCAGAGTCTCTGACCTATTTAGGAAACTGGCAAGAGAGCAGCCAGGGAACATCAAAATACTTCAAAGGCTCCCTTTGAATCCTGCGTTATGCCCAACATAGTGTAAGAGTCTGTGCATATGTGCGCACAGAGATACACACACCTCTGTGCAATCCATAAACTTCATCAGCGGGCCTGCATGATTTTACACACACACACACGCATACACAGACACACACACACAGACAGACAGACCCTCGCGCACACATACAGCCGTCTAGAATGATTCTGTCTGAGCTCTTCGTTTGAACTGTGTCCCATATTGCCAAATGCGGAGAAGTTGGATAAATCACATTAAATACCGGGTCTGCCACCAGCACTATGACTCAGACTGTACCTCGCAAACTCTGGCCCTGGCTCAGCGGGGTGGTATTTATAGCATCCCTGTAATATGACTGCAAAGGAACTTAAAAAGAAGATTTAAGAAGTTTCTAATAGCACCTAGCAAAGGACAATAGTTCAATTTATTCCCCTGTTTGTGGCACTGATTTCAGCACCACGGACAGCTCCTGAGCTACATCAGCCGGTCAGGACCTGGACAAAGTTCCCACAATAAGGCAGACGAATCTTTGAAAGTGACTGCCGAGGACCGCGTGGGCGTGAGTGCGCGCGTGCTCACTGGCAAACCAGAGGCTGATCCCAGTGTGACATTCTTACTGCAAAAGCATATTTATCGCTTTGACTCTGAAAGTTTAATGTCTTGTGTGCTGCGCGTGTGTCTGGACCGCGTTTGTACTCTTGCGACTTTAAACTCCTGACGCTTTCACCTTAGATCGTGGATCGATAGAAACAAGATCAAGAGAGGCGTTCAACAGATGCCAAATGCAGAGACTGCAGGAAAAGGGCACATGAATGGAGGAAGACTTTAAACCTTTTTTTTTTTTTTTTTTTCTCCCCCCTTACCTTAGGGTTTGGGTGAACGCTTTTGCCTCCAGGCCAGTCTTCAACGCATTTATTTGTGTGAGTTCATGAACAAGAAGTGGCACACACAGTAATGCGTCTCTGAAGGCTGCAATGCCTCTTAGCTGACTGAAAATGTGTGCAAATGTTGTGGGCTCGACTATTTACTATTACTATTTATTACATTTAGTGTCAAGGTCTGTGCGTAAACTGGAATGCATAAAAGACAAAGCAGGAAAGAAGCCATTACAGGATGATTTTTGCAAGTTAACTGTAAATCTATTTGTTGCATTGTGACACGAGGGCATTTCTTCATTTCTTTAAGCAGCGTTCCTGTGCCCTGAAGCGGTGAATAAAAAGCAGACAGACATTTCAGTATGAAAACACAAACAGCAGCGCTCTGTTTCATTGCTACTCGGGTGTAGGAAACGCTGCATTTGTTTTGAGGGTCGTCTACCTGCAGTAGTGGTTAAGGACAGTCAAAGAGTGGCAAAAAGCTGCGAATTGGAGTTTTCAAAAAATAAAACAAATATGAATCCCCAGACCCAGAGTGTAATTCGGTGTAAAGCCTCGTCTTTTAAAAGTCGGGTGATGGAGTCAATCTGTTTACAGTTAATCTGATCTGAGCATGTACACAGCTGTTCTGTTAAGGCCTCAGAGGTTTGTTAGGACACGAGCGTGGACACACACTTTAACACACGCCAGGGAACACAGAACGCAGGTCATTTTTCTCTTTTTTCTTTTTTTTCTTTCTTTTTAGATTTCATTTAGTAGAGAAAAAAGAAAGCCAGATATGCTTTGGTTTCACACTGACTTTATGTTGGCCTGCCACAAAATAATTGTAGGTGTTGCAATATACTGAATGGACAATATATTTCTGGTAACTGGAACATCTGCTAATGGACCCTGCAGTTGGAAGGAATGACGCTTCCTGCTAAGAGGGATCTGGGACAAAGCGGGGGGTGGTTACACAGCCTGAGGCAGAAAAACTAAGGGGCTAAGACACAAGATAAGTGGGTACTCTGGGGTAAGTGTCTGGGGTCATTCTTAAATTCAGGACACCCAAAGTAAAAGGTCTGTTGTACTTAAATAAGTACAGAAGAGAGATTTCAAGGTAAAAGGTACAAAAAGTAAAGCGTTTACAGTGACAATACATTAGCTAAGTCATGATGATCAGTAGCTAAAATACATACATACATCATAGTGATCTTATCTAGTCACTATGAATTTATAGCTAAATCTAAAAAAAAAAATCCCAGCATATTGTGGATGAAAATAAATGCTTACAAACTACATTTTACTAAGATTTTATGCACCTTTTGGACTTTTTAGCTGATGAGACAAGAAGAGACAGCAATAAGGGATAGACTCAGACATGACAAACATATTTGATGATCAGTCAAAAACAAAAGGAAACACTAATAAATATATAGTTCTACATAGACACATGTTAGAAAGGTTGCAAAGGATTGCGAAGTTTATACTTGTAATCCTCCATTTGAATACTTCTTGTTTTAGGGTGGAATGCTTACATAAAAAACTATTGCTGAGAATAAATAATCCTGTTTTCCTTCTAACTCTGTTAGCTAGTTGCTAAGCTAAAGCTAAAAGAAATGACACGTTAGGAAACGCCCTCAAAGCCAAGATTACAGGATACTAGGAGCTAAGTTACGCACCTCTTTGGGGCGTAACTTAGATAGAGGCTAAACAAAGGAGATCACAACCTCTGCTGGGACGCCATTTTGTCTGTTAGCTCTTAAAGGTAGCAGGTCATAATGGACCAGCTGCATTTTGGTATTAATAAGTGGAATTCATGAATTTGACTCACTGACTCTTCAGTAAACTCATACATCAAGAAGTCAGCATGGAGAACGGCTGATTCTCCACACTATGGTGAATGCTAAAGGCAAGTAGGGATGCATCAATATAAAAATTTGTACTGAAATCGATATTAATATTAATTGCTATTATGACCACTAACTGGTATATTTGTAATATTCTAATCTGCATATTTCTGTAAGAACAAACCAAAAGAGTTCCAGACAAACATTCAATGTTCAGATGAGACAAAGATAAAACTCATCAATCTTGTTGCCAAAATCTGCATCAGCTATCAGTTTGTTACAATCATGCGTACGATCAGGGTGAATATAGAATAGTCAGGCATAGAAGAAAGCTTTAGTCATTCTAGCTGATATAAAACCAGAAAGGTCCAATCTGAGTGAGTGGAAATAAAAAGGCTATGATAATATTTGCATGCAAACATCTGGTTTAAATTGTACACCTCCTCTTTACATGCAGCTGACGATGGAGCATTTGACGATTGTGCGGGAAATCTTTGAAACCACATTACTTGCGATATTGTTTTTTAATCGGAGCACAAGTATTAGCGAGATTCAATCATCTTTTAATAAAATGAGTTATTACAATTTTAATTGCTCCCCCCCTTTGAAATTAAGCCGTTGATAAGACGGCATGGCTGAAGACATACAAGCAGGAGTGGTGCTTCGCTGAGAGAGAGAGGAAAAAAAAAAAGAGTGATTCGAGTATTTCTCAGATTACTTGTTAGATGGATAAAATGTCTTTTGTGAAATGTACTACCTTGTCCAACACTTGAAGAAATTGGTTTCGAATGGTAAAATGGCATGGATCCTCACGCTGCTCTCATTTGGAACATTGTGATTTGGATCAAGAGTACACTCAACAAAATAAAATAATGAACTCTCAAAAAAAAAAATCCCAAAGTAGGTGATCTTTTCAGAAGCCTGACTGAAACAATTAGGCCCTGGCCTTGACGTAGCTAACAGCTCAAAGCTAAAAGTCTTTACATCTCAGAATGCAGGCTCATGTGGCATTTTCTTTACAGACACAGCTGCCATGGCTGGTTGAGGGGATAGGGAGAGATGTAAGCAGGCATGCAAAGCTCCGCATCATGGCTCTGGGCTCCAAGGTAGTCGTGTCTCTCTCTCTCTCTCTCATTCTGGAGGACATGGACACAAACAGGAGTGATGCAATGCTAAACAGGGATGAATAAAAAACACTGAAAAATAAATGATGCTGGGTGCACTTGCTTCCAGCTCCAAGTCTGCTATCAAACTTCCCTTTCCTCCAGACACTGGCTGTCAGTATGTATGGTGGACCATATAGCCAATCGCGTGCAAATCCAGTCTATATGCATACCAGCAAATGCATAAACAGGCCAGTTATTCCCATGACAAACTACACGCTAATGTATTCTGTAACCATGCGGGTAGATTACTCCAACATCAACTTCCAGCTTTAACTCGCTTCCTGTGGGACAAATAAATATTGAGTTTTTGTATTTCTTCATAGCATTAAGTATGGGTTGCATGTTTTTCAGAACAGAAAAAGCGCATTGCAAAAGTATTCATAACTCTCAAGCTTGTTCCCATTTTGTCATATTATACAACTAGAGATAATAATTTGTCTTATTTTAATGTTATACAACAGACCAACACAAAGTGGGCCATAATTAGGAAGTGGAATGAAAATGATACATGGTTTTCAAAATCTTTAAAAATAATCTCAAGGGCGTGGCATGTATTCTTAGTAGTGCATCACCTTTTCCTACAGTTACAGATGTGAATGTTTCTATCAGCTTTTCTGACTGAATTACTTTCAATTCTTTGCAAAATAGCAATCCAAAGATTGGATGGAGAGTGTCTGTCGATTAAGATTCTCAAATAGTTTTAAGTTTGGTCCAAAACGTATCAAAATACATTTTTACTGACCTGCGATATAGAAAAGACGAGACACACGAAGCGCTTCCGTTAGCATCTAACAGGAAGGTTTATTCTTCTTCTGTGTGCCCAGCCTTCTCTACGCCACCAATGTGATAGGCGCCCCTAGCGGTTGTATGTGAAATCGCACCAAATAACTGAAATAACACTAAAGAACTTATTGCAATGAGAAATTAAAAATAGAAAAAGAAACATAATGTTGGGGTTCCCATTTTTATACTTTGTGTTTTCATTTACCTATAACTAGTTTTCATCAGCATAGTTGTTCAGTGTTCAACTTGTTAAGTGGGGGGGGGGGGCGGGGGGGGCATTTCCATCAATTTAGGACACTACTGAAGATCTGAAGTTTTCCACAAGAAGAGAAATCTTCTTATGAAGCTTGCTCTTGTTTTCGGCTCATATTTTATTAGGCTATTTAATTGAGTTGAATTGTGTTACTTTTTTTTTGTTTGTTTCATCAAAACAGGTTTCTCTTGTAATTTCAACTTGGCTCTTAATGAGACTATTTGTATAAATAAAGGTCAAATAAATAAATAAATAAATTTAAAAAATGGACAGACATGTGTTGGTAGGTTAGTTGCTGACCTACTATTTCCCCCCCAAAATGGAAAAATAGTACAAATACTTTTGTTTGACACTTTCATAAAGACAATTCAAAGAATAAATTGATAAAGTCATTCAATAGCATTTAAGCTACGAAGGATAAAAATAAACAAATTTTAGAAATATTAAAATAGGGACATTGGAGACAAAATTCTAGCGAAGTGTAAAGAGTTCAAGTCGAGAAGAAAAACAGAGGAGGCGTAGAGGGGTGGGGGGGAAATGCTCACAAATGCCTGCTGATGGAGTAGAGCCTGAACGAGAAGGAACACTGAGCTATGGGTGGTGGAGATCAGTTCTGCCACAAAGAGAAAAAGCAAGTTCCCCCGCACGGAAAGTGTCAAGCACATTAAACCAGGTCCTCAAAGCCAATGTTTCTTGCTGGGCTGCTTTCCCCTCATGTGCTGTCACCATTCTAAACCTAAACTACGTGACGCTGCTGAGGAACTGACACAAGCAATCCCCTGCAACACGTACTAGAAAGCCGACTGTTCTCTCTCGAGTAGTGCTCATAATTTGTGTCTGCAATCGATTTTGCAACCAGGTCAGACTGCAGCATAAAAAAAAAAAAAAAAAAAAAAAAAAAAAAAAAAAAACCAAACACAAAAAAACACTTGCATGCTGGTGCTGATAATGTCCTGTCCATGGCCTACAGGAGAGAACACAGCATCACCCCCATTCCTTATTATTATTAACCAATTTGTTTTCATCATGACAAGATACAAGAAATATCCACCACTATTCTTCTCGCGCGTTCTTGTAAAGAGGAGAGCGAAGCTAATGAAAAAGGTCAGTTTTGTTGTGCATATCATGCCCCGGTGATATTCTGTGTGTGAGGTGAAGAGCCTCAGGCAAGGTTCCTATTAGCAGACGCCCGCAGCAAAGTAAGACAGCGTAGATAGAAGTAAACCAGAGAGCGACAAGAGGGGAGATTCTGCTTGAATTAACATAGAGGCTGCTTAAAATACAACATGCGCGAGTGTTTGTGCAAGCAGCTACACGCTGCTCTCAATTAGGAAAACAGCATGGAGGTTAGATGGTCATGGAATAAAACTGCATCCTCTGACTTTAAAGGTGGGATGTGAGAACATGTCTATATGAGATGCCTACCCCGAGGCAGATGACATTTTATTTTCCAGGTATGGGGGGTGAAAAAAAAAACAGATTTGTAATAAATCTGTATTTCGTAGTGATATTTAATACATGCAACTGATGGGTAAATCACTCAGTAGGATTTCATAAAATCATTTCTACCACAATTCAGGGGAGACGCTCCTGATGAAATGCTGGTTAAAGTATGATTTATTTAGAATTAAAGAAATCAAAATTCTACGTTCTGCACACCGAGTTCTGAAATATGACCAGCCCACTTAAAAATGAAGTTTATTTTTTTTCCTCATAGTGATTATATTGTTAAAAAAAACTTAAGGTTTCTCCGCTTTAGCTTTTGACTAAAGCGGAAAACCAAATGCAAGGTTTTTGGTCTTGCATTTGGAAGAGCCCATAATTTCAGCTACTTTGACAAAAAAAAATACTTCAATTTCCACGTTAAGAAAGTAACCTAAGTAACCCTTATCACCATCTTTCCTTGTAGGTGTGATGTCCTTTCGGCTTTTAGGTTTTGGGGAAATTTTAGCCAGCCCAGTATGTTTTATTTGAACAATTCCACTCTTCAGTCTGAAGATGTGCTGGAAATAAGAAACTGTGGCCACATTTTAACCAAAAGCAGTACTTTGCAGAAAATTCCTGGAGTTACTCCCTGACAACTCTTGCTTTTAAATAATAATTCTGCAGAAATGTGCAATTTTTCATAACATCCTTGTTGTCCCACATTTATTGATGACTGTCTTTACCCTGCTATTTTCCAAATAGATTGTCTTTATGTCCTTAGAGACTTGTGAAATTAGATCAGTTTGTTCCTTTGCAGCCTCTCTGCAAACTATAGCTCCAGTTAGAGGTGTAAACGAGGATAGTCAAGAAAATCAAGAGCTGTGTTTGACTTCTGGTTTATCAGATGCACAACAACTGATGGCAGGCGCAAACACAAAAAAGACTGAAAGCAGAAATAAAGTCTGAAGGTGTTTTAATGAAGTGTTAGCTTTAATTATGCACCAGAAACAGAATGAATGCAGCTTTACAAAATGTGAAATTCTAAAATAATAGACTTCACAATGTTATTCAGAAAAAAAAAAAAAGGTTGCGGAGTGATATACCACCGTTTAATTTATTTACATCAACTGGTGTTTTATTGATCACCCAAAATTGTGCTCTTCAGACAACTTATTCAATAGACGACAATCAGAATTTTTAAACAAGGAAAATGTATTTGTTACTGGACAAATAACGATGCATTTCTTGATAAACACATTATCATTGCTGTGAAAAATTATCTTCTCAAATTAATCTGTGCATGTCTACAGCCCATATTTGAAAATAAAGGGGGCAGGGGGGTGGGGGGGGAGACTGCAGCCAAAAAAAGCCAGCTGTTTGCTGAAATCCTACCCACTACCAGTATGTATTGATCAGAACCAGTCTGCATGGCTTGTCAATAGGTAATTTCATTACACGACTAATAAAAGTGAATCAATCAATTAAGAGCTATAATCTGACAACCACTAATATGATGCACCACAGAGGGCAATTGAATTAATGAACCACCACCCACTGATGAATCTATACGAACAAAGTGGGGTTTTCTGGGCTCTAGCCCACACTGACACACACACACACACACACACACACACACACACACACACACACACACACACACACACACTGAAGCAAATGTACAGCTGCCTCAGACATTCATGCAACAATGCAACATTGCTCCACCGGTCCCAACCCTAGAATCGCACATATGCGCTGTATCGCCAAAAATATTCCCCTTTCCTGCCTGAGAAGGTTAAAATTGAGTGACATCTTAATCCATAAGGTTTCATATAACGTAAGTATGAAAGCTTCAGTCCTTTTCCACAAGTTGTGTTCATAGACGTTTCAACCATTCTTCCAGAAGCACATTTGTGAGGTCAGACGCTGTTGTTGGCTCGCAGTCTCACCTCTAATTCATCCGAAAAACATTCTGCATGATGACTTGATGACTCTATGCATCTTGCGCGCTTGTGCAGACACTGTGAACGCCAGTGCACGTGTTTTGACTAGCTCTGTTAGACTTGTTGACAACCTCATTCTGTGTATTTTTGAATTATGAGACTGTTTTATCTCCTTAAGAATGAGTCGAAAGAAAAAGAACATAAAAATTGTTATTTACACTTATGTGGCAGCACGACTGCACAATAGCTGCTCAAGCAGCGGCTGACTGAGCCTTACTTAAAAAGCTAAGAGATCCGGCTTATAAGAGTAGTTGTGGAGACGAGCCTGGTGTGTGTGTGTGTGTGTGTGTGTGTGTGTGTGTGTGTGTGTGTGAGCATATGAACAGGTGGAAGTTAGCGATTAAATCTGAATGCTGACTCGGCAGCCAAAGTTGAAAACTACAGCTGATCACTAATATTCGCCCAGCAAGACATGAGGGCAGAGGTTTACTATAACGAGCATCATCATTGCCATGATGAGGGAGAGAGAGCAGAGGGACTTTCAGCTGAGCTACAGTCCAAAGGCCTGGCTGTGATGGAAACAGTAGGAACCCTCTCTCTAAACCCCTAGGAGGATTTGCATCTTGATGAAAAACATCTTCTTTAGCTCAATCAAAACTGAAGTATTTAATCTTAAAGTAGCTAAACACATTAAAAGGTCCTTCAGATCATCACATTGCATCTCATTGCATCTGCCGGTCGTACTTCCGGGAAAAAAAAAAAAAAAAAAGTGTCGCTGAATTCACCTGGAATATATTTACTTGTGCCAGGAAGACAGTGAAGTAAAATCGTGAGCCGATTTTCCTCCGAATGGAAACAAGATATTTAAGATTAGAAAATTACACCAGACAGATAAAATCAGCATTTTTAACACAAAATTGTGGCTTTCATGGGAAGTATGTTTAATAAATTGCTTTAAAGTTATTTTCTGACAACCAAGAACACATATTCTAATTGACTAAATGTGACTGTACTCAGTGACCAAGCTAACCACTATTAGCAATACATGCTAATAACATTTGTATTTTTACTGCAGCCTTGCTAAATAATATTTTATATATTTTGTCAGGAAATTTAACTAGATAAATCTTTCAAATAAATTTGAAAAAATGCTTAATTGTTGATGTTTATGAGTAAGGCATCCAATCTGAGCTTTAACGGCCAACATTCCTAATCATAATTTCAATCTAAAAGCTTAAGAAAATAAATAAAGCAATCAGCAACAAAAGAATTGAAAGAATAATCACATTGCATCCTTTATCCAACAATGCCAGAGGATATGAATGTTTCTTTTTGTTGTTTTTAAGATGTTGGATATCAAACTCGGACAACTGTATTTTTTTAAATAGTGTTACTTTACATAAAAAGTTTCATATCCACCGTGTTAGATTAT